ATTGTACTATTACCCTGTCCAGCCAGGTTATGGCCCTTCAATAAGTAATAAGTACAATTCAGTCAAATTAATTACCTTAGAATATGCTTATATATATATAGGAATATAAATGTAAATAAAAGAAATAAATAAATACCAATATTTTATATGTATTAGAATATTTATGTCACCAAAAGTATTCGACCGAAAATAAGATGTATAATATTTTTCAGTAATTACGAAAGAGGGTAAAAAATTATGTAGATTTCATATAGAATTGTAACTAAGAATAAGACATAAACTCACGCACATTCGCTTTCTGTATCTTGGTTGAGTATTCCAGAGAGCCGTAGAGATGTATAGATAGAATTGCAAGGCGTCCCAGTATTCGCTAGAGGGATATTCAGAGGAACCACCCGAATTTGGGGGAAAATGGCCTTTTTATAGCCTGCAAAAACTGGTTTAGCGATCTCTGGTGAGATTCTTGAAATATTTTTGCTGTATTTGATTGGTTAATGTGATAGAATCTTTTACGTGGGCATTTTATGGAATGCGTAAGAGGGAGGTTAAATCTTGTGTAAGGGTATTATTTTATTACTCATCTTATCCACGGGGAAACACTGATTTGGTGATGTATTTTATTAAATATAAGTATTAATTATTACATGTATTAAAATGTGATACTACATTAGTTTTAGTTAAAGCTGTACACAAGTTATGATTTTATTGTTGTCGTTAGGTCTCGGTTACATTTACGTTTTAGTTATGTGGCGGGTGGTCAGATAATGAAATTGTATAGATAGCTTTAACTAGGAGGTTTGTGTTTATATTGAGTTTTGAGTGAAATCTAGTATAGTGTGAAATAGCAAGTTCTTCATCAGTTTTGATATTTGAATCTTTGTGTACGTTATTATTCGTTACACATCAAAGCGCACAAGTTAACACTCGTAATGTTATATTTTGAAAGGATTGTATTGGCCGAATGTTAGATGGTTTAGCTGGTCCCCATATCTGGATACCATAAGACCAGACTGGTCTGATTATTGATAAGTACTTTTGTTTCGAGAGGTAATTTAATTTTGGTAGTGGTTGAAAAAGATGAAGTCGACTTTTTCCTTATGTTTTTCATGCGAGGTCCCCAAATCAATCGTTTGTTCAAAATTATGCCTAAGTTCTTAGTTTCATTGTGGGTATTAGTTACTGTATTGTTTAATTTTATATCTGAGCATTTTTTGGATCTTAGGGCGAATGTTACATGACTTGATTTATCTGCATTTATTTTAATCTTCTAGTTTTTGAATCAAGATTCTATGATGTTGATGTGGGTTTGTAGATGATGGGCAGCTTCAGTAATATAACTATAAGTAGAGAGTATAGCTGTATCGTTAGCAAATGTAGCAAGAAGAGTATTAGTAGACTAGGGTATGTCTGCCGTGAAAATATTGTAAAGGTGGGAGACAGGTCATTTTTTTCTTGAGGTACGCCTGCTTTGTCTTACCGTAAATTTTCTCTCATAAAGGTAAGACTTTATTATAAAGTATACAGGCACATGTAATACTTTTTTTAATTTGCAAAGCAGACCGTCTCACAACCTATCAAAGGCTTGGGCAACGTCAAGGAATAGACCAGTGCAGTAATTGCGGTTTTCAAATGCTAAGATTGTGTCGGTCAACCTATGAACTGGTGTATAGTAAAGTGTCTCTTGCGGAAACAAAACTGAGTGTTTGGTAAGATGTAGTGCTCTTGTAATATTGGCCTAATTCTACTGAGTTGAAGTTTTCCAAAAAGTTTGCTTCTGAGTAACAGGCTGATCGGTCTATATGCTGCCAAATATTTTTTTAAACTTTTTACAGAACAAAAGTTTATTTGGAAACAAATATATTTGATCAAATCTTAGATTTTATACAATTCTATTATACAAAGTCAATTTGAAGGTAATTTTTTTTTTTATTAAACTAGCTATACATATTCTTTTTAACATATTGTTTACGTGAAAATGATTTTACATGTATTCTTATTTTATACTTTCATATATTTTGTAATTTAAAATTATCATGTTTAAAACTGGCAGCATCAATTTTCACGGTGGTTTTTTGTTATTTTTAAAGATATGTACTTATTGATCAATATATTTTTTTCAGAAAACATTACATTACGTTACATTCAATGATTTTTATACATTGATGTTGGTCATTTTAAACTTGAAAAAAGTTCTTAGACAATTTAATATATCATATGACATATTTGAATCAATATTGATATCTAAAGAAATTCTATTATTATAGTTCTTTCACCAAATAAATTCTAAAATAAAAAAGTTTTGTATTTTCCTTCTGGATTCTTGTGAAAGATCATTTGAAGACTTAGGTGTATGTTAATTTTTTAAAAAAATTGAAAAAACAAAAAGGATTTTTTTGGGTTTGCCATATCATTGCTAAATTTTAACCCGTTTTAAAAATACTTTATGTACTTTATATATATATATATATTGTATGATATTGAGTTCCTGACAGTTTGTTTTATGTCTGTGTCTACGTTGTCGACGTTATTTTAGCTCGTTTTGCAACATTGCCCTATGGTGCTTGCAAGTACTTAAAAAATATTATGTTAACATTATTCCCGAAATATGTAACCCGGACCTCAATCAATAAGTTTTAAACGTATTTTTTAATATGCTATATAAAATTAAATCATAATTATAACTGTTCAATTATTTTATTTTGTTTATAGAAACTATTTTTTTGAGATATAACCGTTAAACTAATCAATTTCAATCATAACATTTAATTATAAAGTTAATTAAATTTGCGACACGGAAAGTTTAACAAAATTAACAAATTCTGAAATTTAACTAGTTTAATGAGCGAATTTTAATGGAATTAAAAAAATTTTAATGGAACAATGTTAAATAATTACAATGTCGATTAAATATGCAAATACAAATAAAATCATTTTTCTCTGGGATCGGACTAATTAAATTTATTTGTGTTATCAATTGAAAATAAATTTGTTTTTAAATGAAATAAAAACCTCATTACATTTCAAAAGTATTTTTATTATACTTAAATTGTGTACATATTTAAATTTATTTTATTTTACTACACAGGGAACTAGTTACTAGAAGAGCAAACATGTAAATAGATTTTATGAATACTAGTGTTACGTCGCTATTTAGGGGTTTAGCCTAAATGCCCGTCGACAGTATTCTAAGGGACCAACGGGGGATAGCTGGCTAGGCTATATCTACCTTAGGTACTGAAGTTTCCTATTTAATTTATATTCCCTTAGAGGAACTACCAAGGGTCGCACTACAATATATATATATAACACTTTAGGTTAACAACGATATAAATAAATATTTATTAAACAATTAAAATATTAAATAGATAATACAACCTGCTGGACACCTAGAGATGATATAATCCAACAGGGAGCTGACGGCGACACACACACACACTATAATATACGGGGTAGCAAGTTAAGTTAATTATTAGACAAGTAGTGATCGCGAAGATGGTAAAAGGTCAACTGTCGATAGGGATATCTTAATATGGCACATTGGCCGTGAATTGCAAAAAGTGTTTATGTGTGCAGTCCGCACTCCTGTTAGTATTGCTGTATGTCACTGTGTTAATTATATATATATATATATATGTCTATTAAACGGTACAACGATGTTATGGGAGACAGAGATATGGGCACATGCAAATGTGATCGTATCAATAGTTTAGACGCGTCGCAGCCAAAACACATTGACTTGGCTCACTGAGTCGATGTGTTTTACTCCGAATTGGATTTGTTATGCATACAAAACAATTTCAGCAAAAACCGGTGTGTATTTAAATACAGACGGATTGTTGAAAATAGAAGGTAAAAACATGTAAACATTATTAAATGGTTGTTTGAAGACGACGGAGGTGGCGATGCTGTCAATTCCCATTGTTGTTTGAAACCAACAGCGAAAACGGCTACGAGAAACATCGGTCGTCGATATAGTTCTACAGTTGAGGATGAACAATAAGAAAATAGAATGCGATTGAGTGGGACAATCTTATAAAACGTTTACGTTTATTGATATCGGCCCAGTCGACTGGCAACACTAAAATTGCACCGAAAACCGTTTCTATGTTGGAGGAGTTGTAGGAAGCACATTACATTGAGCAGATATCATTGACTTTGTGAAGAAGAAGATTGCGAACAAACTTCACCGGACATACACACGTGCTCACATATATATATATATATATCAATGGACTCGACGATGCATAGTAAGCTAACATCGAGTAAATGTGCGTGTATCAGATGACGCATGACATCGGTAAACCTTATAGTGGATCGACTGATTTTCAAAATACGCTACGCTAAAAAATAAATTAGCTTACGAAATTACCACCCCAGCGAACAGAATATTAAATTTAGGTCGTTATCATGAACTTTTGTAACCGAACAATAGTAAAGTGTTCTAGAATAAACAATTTCAAACATTGATGTCATAATACGCAATCAACAATGGTCGACTTATTCTACGATGAAAGCGTGTCTCAGGAACGTTCTAACCACACGCTGAAAAATACAATGTGGCGCGACTTAAGTGCACATGGCACGTAAAAGTGGGTGAAACGGTCGCCATAACTGATGTACTAATAGAATAATTTGCATAAAACATAAAGCAATCGATATGATATCGGCAAAAGTGGCGTAAAACCTCAACCAGTTCAAAATACGAAAAATAATTCACCGGTAAAATTTCACGTGGGCGACAAGATACACATCAGCGTGTATAACATTTATATGCAATTTTCCTTTTAAACGCTGTTTTAAGAACAAAAATAGATGAAACTTTTTTATTAGCGTGTCTTTTAAATAGTTATAAGAATATGCAAAAAATAGACGTTGAAATGAAATTATTGACAACAATAAATATTTTTTACGTCAAAATTTTTCAAAGTGTTTCAGAATGTTTAACTAGATCTTGATTAACAATTTCATGGTTTTATTTTAAAATAAGTAAACAACTAGTATACAGTATTAGAATTTTATTTTACATTTAAAATTACATTTTGATTATATGAAATATAAATTCTAATGTACATTAAAACATATAACAACATTAGTGGATTATTATGAATATGTATTAAAAAACAGACGAAAGAGTTTATTTATTATAAGGTGTGTACGTAAATGAAGAATATCCATTATAAGGTCCAAAATAAAAATCAATCAACTTCATCCCATCTTGTGCATATATGTCATTTGGACTAACATCCTTTTTGATATTTTCAATAAATATGTCAACGCATATCCAATAAATTTTCAAATAACTTTTATTAGTATTATTTGCGATGTATTGTAATAAGTCGAGCAGTACATCGCTTAACTCGTAAAAATAGTCAGCTAAAAAATACAACAATATAAAAGAAAAAAATAGAATTTTGTAAATAATTTATTAAATAATTACGGTTAACGTTTTTCTTCCAATCTTCAATCAAATTACCCTAAAATATACAAAATAGTTTATTGTAATATGACTATGTAAAAAAAAGTATTTCAAAACAAGAGTATTAGGGTGGATCTTATTTTTAAATTTCTATACTCAATTGATCATTGAGCAACATTTTTTTAACATTCTATCAGTGAGTTTCTATTATCAGTTCTATCTATTATTTTTGCGTAAGTGAGAAAAGAATCTTAGGAAATGTTTCTCATATGTAAAATTGTTTGAATATTTTAAAATAAATATATAATTACTCTATTAACAAAGTGGCCATATAATGTAACAATTTCCATATATTCACTACCTTTTATAACACCATCATTGTTCAAGTCAAGTTCATGAAATTTAGTTGAGATTTCTTTGAACATATATTCATTCAGTGTTGCAAACTAATAATGCAAAATAATTAATTAATAATTCCGGTAAAAAAGATAATAAACTAATTAATATGTGCTTTTACATAATCGTGATGGCCCAACTTTTTAACTCCAACCACAAATTCTAGCATCTTGAAAGCTCTTACGTATGTACTATCTATAAATCAATTATTTCTTATATGCAGGGTGATTAAAATTTCAAGTTGAATAGTTTTTCTCAAAAATTAATGAAGATATAGAAGTGTTTCAAATATAAATTTATTATCATAATTATTATTTTCAATATTTTTACACGTAATTTAAAAAAATATCTATGGGAGGTTTTATTGGGTTAATTTTGTATTTTATTTGTGATTTTGTTTTGAATCGCATAATTTGTAAAAACAAGTACTATCTAATAATACTTAGGGCACAACAAACGTAGTGTAATAATTTAAATACAGTGGCAGTTCTTGAGTAAATTTTCTGAGTTGTCACCAAATATTATAGGATACTAGTTAATAGGATAAGTGAATTGACCCCATCTACTTCTTGTTTATGTCTTCCAGAATGTAATAAACCAAAAACAAAAGTAATAAAAAATACTGAATTGGTAGAATAGGGTAGTGGATTATGGAATATTAAATATATTATTTTTAAATTTATAAACATTTTTGTATTAATTTATTAATGGTTTATTAAGCAGTAGATTGTTGGAGGTTCGAAAGCACAGGTTAAATTATACTTATCTTTCGTCCAATGTAATTCAATAATATTTCGATTAATCTAATGTTGATTCTGGTATTAAATAAAATGATCAAAGTAGTATTGTGGTGGCTTAATGTGTCCTGGCGCAAGTGACGTGAAATGATGCGGCACAATAATCACCAAGACAAAAATTAAACACTAAAAATATATTCGTATGTTTTTTTGCGCTGTCCGCCAGCACGATGTTTGTTAGACATTAAGCTCAAAGACTACCTACCCAATACACATAGGCTTACAAATATATTCTAACCTAATATACCTAATTCTAGAATAATATCTAGTTGCAACCTTTACACTGTCCGCCGGCGCCATGTTCGTTAAAAGAAGTGTCCAAATTAATTAATAAAAACGAATAAATACCAGAGAATGACATCTTGAGTAGAGCGTCGCAGATCCTGTGTATTTTAAAATTACCAAAAAAACTGGTTTAGACGGGGAACAATGGCCTATTATAGTCAGAAGCGGGTAACCAAGCGATCCCTAGCGTGATCTTGGAAGCTGAGGCTTTCTATTTTAATTGGTTAATTATAATTGCGTATTAATATAATGCGCGTAATTAATAATCTCTACAATAAGTAAATTTCATCTCATAATTAACTGGTTATTAATTATATGGTAAATAAGAGAACCCTGATTTGGTGATCTTGTATATTCATAATAAGTGACATACATCTACAAATGGTAACATCATAATATATGTTAATATTATAAGTAATAATATAATATTACAAGAATAAGTTTTAAACAAAATTAAATAAAAAAAAAAGTTGTATGTAGAATGATAAAATGATTCTTTAAAAATGTATTAAGTAAATTATTTAGTTTTGCCAAATTTTTAGAACAAATATGGCTAGAAATTTTTAGTGGTAAATTACGTTAATAATAAGTAACCAATTGAGAAATAAACGAACTCATTACACTTCTTTCTCCAAATTGAAGGGAGAAAGTTAGCCACGTATCGGTAAAATACCCAGGAAACAGTTGTTCTCAGCAACGGCCGTAATTAAATGGAGTTCTTCTACGGACCCGAAGGGAAACATGGAATGCACACTTGAAATGGCGGCTTTTAAATGTTAACTTCAGTTTTTTTCAAATCGTTGACAACATAATATAATTCAGACCAATGAATTTGAATCGCAGTATATGTGATAGTAGTGTATTCCTTAGAGATTGAGAGGTATGCAACACTCTTACAAATAACACTTATACTCTTATTTGTTTTTCCGTCTAATAATAATTAATATTATACATTTCTAATAGCTTTAAGCGATTATGACGGTGAAAAATAAACCATTTTTTTTAAGCCGAACTGTATTTATCAAATTGCTGATACGGAAATAAATTTTGGCGTAAAAAATAAAACAATTTGAATAATTGTTTTAATAAAATGAATAATGAGGTGTTGTTAGGTTGGGTTGAAAAGTGTTGAAAATATTAATTCACGATAATTTATATTAAAAACATTCAACTATAAAAATTATTGGTATATTCGTATAGTATTTCAAATTGAGTATAATTTTATATTTTTTAATATTCTTAAATATATGTTTTGACTTTAAATACATATTAAAGAGAGCAAAGTAAATATGGACACATACATTTTTATCTAACTTATAAAATAGAATATGATTTAATTAAGATAAAGACTAGCGATAACTTTTTATGGACTAGTATTTCAGATGCTTTAAGAAACTAACGTATTGACTGGTGATGAGGAGCGGGTCCTGCTATTTTCATCATTAGATATTTCTTTATCTCATTCCTCCTCTCGACAAGGTTTAAAAATGTTAAACTACTTTGAAATAGTAGTCCAAATGATGTAATTGACCATTTTTTATCTTAATAATATAATTTTTTATTTTATATGCTAGTTAAATATTTATGTTGCCATTAAAAAAAAAAAAATTCAACCCTCCATAACACATATTCGAAAACATATATAATATTGTATAGCAGATAAATTGAGGTATATATGTAAATAACAAAAGCCAAAAATAGAATTCATAAAAAAATTATTGTTTTAATAGATATTGAGTGGCCAGTGCTAAAAGAATCATTCTGTATAAAAATTCATTTTAAAAAAACGAAGTTAAAAATTATACGTTATAATTACCTTCAGAGTTATATTCATACTCTTTATCGATATTAAAATACTTAAAAACTTTTTTTACTGTTTCATTATCATTAAAATTTCGTGTCAATACTTGGAAAGATTGTATGTGGAGTGCATTAAGTCCGTCGCTCTTAAAATATTCAGTTATTATATTCGTTAAAAAAAAAAAAATAAAAAAATAGTTAAATAAATACTTACCATTGTGTCAGTAAATAAACATAATGAACAAAAGATTAGTATAGTTTTTAAATGCATTGCAAAGATTTTTGTACTAAAGAAAACAACAATTTAAAAAAATATATTGAAATTTTAGCTTTATAATTTTACGTTTAAAATTTGGCAATTTATACTAAATAGTGCAAATACTAATATTTATTCTTATATAATGATTTCGTAAAAATAGACACATATTTTAATGTACTTGACATTATTACAGTTAGCCTTAATAAATCACGTACTTAAATATGTTTTTTGTAATGACATCATCTAGTGTTTAAATTTACCATTTAAAATGTAAAAATCAATTAAAAAAAATAATGCAATTTTCTACAGTAAATTTTATATGGTCTTTTTCTTGACCAATTTACGAAAAACTATAGTTATGTTATTTTTACTAACACAATAACAATTTATGACAGATCAGTTTAATAATTAGTTATTAAGAATAAGAGTATGTACAGTAATATTGATGAAAATCATTAAGCACTAACAGCATATAAAAAGAATAAAATAGAAAAAACATAGACATAAAAATACATTTATCATATCTCAATATTAGAAAACAGAAATTGTTATATAATGTAATAAATTTACACAAAAACATTTACATAAATTTCATCGATCAATTGAAAATGAGCTAACACAATACACGAAGTTGCAACTAAAATTAGAGGTAAAAGAGCCCCATAAAATAGATCCATACTCAAGAATCGGCCTAACTAAAGATCAATAAATACTCTTTAATGTTTTCATAAGGCAAAACTCATTGGCAATTCTTTGAATAGATCCCTTTGATAATTAGTCGATCAAGATCGGGTTGAAGCAAAGTAAGACCAGAGCTATTGGAGTTCTCATAAGTAATTAAAAATCATCAATATCAAGAAGTGTTTTTCATAATTCAATACCGAATTGGATCCATTGATCAAGATAGAAAAGAAGAGAGGAGAAGGTGTTTGAACGGAACGCCCGGTAATGACTTGCGGGTTAGTTACTGTTCGATTCTGGAGTGTTTATATCATGCAGGAGAAAGAAGTAGGGAGTGGACTGTATAAATGAATAAAAGAAATATAGGAATATATAACAATTACCTGTATTCAAAGTTTAAACCAAAATACTATAAACACCAATGTGGGTAGGGGGGACTATTAATGCTAATGCAACAATGCGTAAAATAAAACAAATAATAAGAGTAAAAATTAGATAAAACAATATGATTACTAAACTACTTATACGATACTAATGGCGATGACTGGTTGATATATGAAGAGCAGGCGGGTGAATTTGTTGACATAGCAGTTGAACTGGCAAAATGTACTGGCGCGAATAATAGTTGAAGATGTACGAATTTAATTATCGATGAGCGTATCGCAAGGGCGATAAACAATAACTCACAACCGCAAGGGCGATAAAGCAACGCTTTTAAAACAACTAAGGGCTCACAGCATCGTAGAACCATCTAACAAACGAGTTATGGATGGCGGCGAAAAACGCAAAATTCACCAAAGGGAACCGATAATAACTCCTCGAGACACAAGAATCACGTACATAAGCATCCAACGTAGTAATTGAATCCCTCGCACAACCGGTGGTGGCAGCGCGAGTGGCGCTATCAGTCACAACAAAATCTAAGAAAAACGCCCTCTTGTGATGCGTGTCCAACAGAAAGAATTGAACCTTTCGAAACTCCCGAATATGCGGTTAATAACTTCAGACATACAAACTTGTGTATTAACCCGCAGTTTTCTTCCAGATAAGTTGGCAATGAACCAAGATAGGAATAGCTCACCAAAATCAGCATGAAATAATAGATCAGCTAATATACTAAGACTCAACTTGTTCACTATCATAAAAAACGCTTCGATGCAAATTTGTAGATAGTGTTGAATTTAAAACTTGTTGTATGATTCCAAAAGCAACATGATTTCTTATTTCCTTATTTATATTCTGCTTACAAGTTTAAATATTTATTTATGTAAAGTATTTACGTATTTAATAGTTTTATGAGTTATTTTATAAATTAATAATATTATAGTAAGTGTCATTCTACAGCGTATGATGATCGCCTGTCTACAGTCAGCTGACAGGATTGTGCTGACCGAGGGACGCTTGGGCATATAAAATTGGTCCTGTAAATAATCGTGATTTTGTCATGACCAGTCACAGTATTCTATCTTAATTTTAATTCTTTATTTTATGTCTTAGTATTCTACTTAATAATTGTAACTATACATTATTCTACTTTATAAAGTGAAGTGATTTAATATAATAATAAATACTAAATCACTACGTTTAATCAAACTGTTCGTTCATTAATTTTATTTATTATACCTTCCCATAGCAGGCTCACATAACAATGTATAAAGTAAAGTATATTAGAAATTAAATAATTATATTAATATACATTTTAAAAAAACCCAGCACAGGGAGGTCGCAGCACAGTGTTGACGTGGCATAGTTGGATCAAGTATAATGATATCTGACAGTGATTAAAATCACTAAAAAAAAAAAAACGCTTCGATGCAAATCTTTCGATAGTGTTTAATTTTAAAAAATTGATGTATTATTCCAAAAGCTACATGATTTGCTAGTTCCTTATTAATATCTTGATTAAGATAAAGTATGTCGAATGAAAAAGGGTTTATTAAAAAATATTATTTCTCATAAAAAAATTTTGTCGATCCATAAACTTTTCAATAAGTTATAGCATTATAAAGTTAAATATAATATAAATAATAAAATCGAGAATTTTCACACGAAAATAGCATTCGGTAGTCATTTTCGCCGTGAAGACAAGTCCAGAGGTCAAATTTTTTTTTCTTCAAATTAAAGTATATTACATTAGTTTTAATTTAAGATATATATAAAAGTGTCAGACCTTCCGGAACATTTTCAAAAGTTATGTTGAAAAAGTAAATTTTTTGTGAAAAAGTTGTCTTTTTAAATCCCCCCCTGTGGGCAGGTTAAGTGTCAGATTTACAAAAAAAATATACCAAATGATAGGTAAAGACATCAAGCATCTATAAAAAAAAAATTATATTGATATGTTCATTTTTGAAAAGGTTACGGCACATTTTAGTAAAAAAAATTGAAAAAATTTCGAAAATTAGTCATTTTTAAATTTGTAATTTTTTTGGAGGTTTCCCCCATTTACGGGGTTTGAAAGAAATCGATTCGGTGAGAGCTGAGAAAAAGTGGTAACAGACACAAAAAAAAAACACATCATAGTAAAACCAATATCTTCTCAGCTTCGCATCGAAGCTAAAAATAATCGAAGGTTATACATATATTATGCAGTTATGGACTGCTCGAGTAATAAAATATAACAATTCATACGATTTCGCTGATTTTCTTGAAGAGATAATAAAAAACTTGGGAGGATTAGCCTTCAAGCCCATCCTATGTTATCTCGTAGTATTTCAGATATATTTAATTTTAATATTAATTATTGGTGAACAGGAATTTTGATTATATAATTAGTCATTATAATGACTGAATTGTTTAGTTCATTCGTGTTTTAGACTTTTAGGTTAAACTTGTGATGATTTACATCACGCTGTAATAGATGGTTAGATATTATTTAAACCGTGCATCATTTATATATATATATATATATATATTTATTTCAAGGGTTATTATTGAAGTATTAATTGTAACGAAATCAGTTTTGTTTATTCAATTAACTAAATGTCATTATTAACGAACATAGTAAGACCGAATTTTTTTGTTTATATTAGTACCAATAGCCTTCTACATTATATTTAATTTATTACAGGTTTTTTACGAAATTAATTTTTACTAAAATAAAAATTTCATCTAATTCCTTCTAACAATACATTAAATATATTGAAAATGGGAAAGCTTATCCTCACTTCTATAATCCAGGGGTGAATTTTTTTTGTGGGGTTAAACTTAATTTTCCTCCCTCCTAAAAATATTTTGTGTATAACAATGCTACAATTTTTGTGAATTTGTCGGGGGCGATGAAAGAAATCTTGGGAGGCTAATCTCTCAAGCATCCTCTAGCTCATGATTACTGTGTATACATATGATGATAATGTGTATACATTACAAACTTGACATTAATATTATGATAAGAAATTAGATAAGGCAATTATTACTTTTGAATGAGAGTGATTCTCATTCAAAAGTATAAGTCATTTTCATGGAAAAAGTTACACACCTCCAAATTATAGTAATTATGAAAAGATAACGTTTTCTTCTGTCCTTTTCTCAATACGTATTTCAATGTTTAATACCGTAAAATAATACATGAAAATTCAAATTTTCACAAACTTCAAAACGCTACAGAATATTTACTACTGAATATTAATAAGATATTTTTTTACTAAAATTTTTCTTAAACTCTACTCTACAAAATAGCTATCTAANATATTTTTTTACTAAAATTTTTCTTAAATTCTACTCTACAAAATAGCTATCTTAGATTTTTTTTTTACATTTTATTTAAAATTTAAAAATAATCAATATTTTTAATAAAATGTAAAAAAATTAATTATTGAGATATAGCTATAGACCTAACGTATAACTATTATTAAAAAAAAAAATCAGCTAAAAATATTAACTGGATCAAAAGTTATTTAAGTTGTCAGTGAGCCACCCTGTATTGGGAGAGGAGTGTGATAAAAAAATTTCTAATGATAAGAAGAGTTATACCAATGGTTCATCCCTTCTCTATACTTATTAGTTATAAATTGTTATCGATCTGTCATTTTCTTAATTTAATTATCTTATTTATTCAATAAATAAGATACTGAAATGTATGTTGCCATAAGCAAAAATTAAGTTTGCACTCTTATAGGAAACTTAAACAGTTCAGAAAAAAAAGCTTAATATTTATAATACATTAGAAATAATCGAGTGGATAACGTTAAAAAAATCACAATGTATTGATTACTGCATTATTTATAGCTGATAATTTTATACATCGAATATTTTTCTACCAATAAATTTTCCAGGAATCCTGCTTGTATACAATTGTTTTTTGAAATAAATTACGTTATAATTATAACATTACGATAAAGATTCCAATTAAAAGCTGTAAATAATTATAGGACAAATTGAATATATTATTTAGTATACAACATTCATTAATCACCCTTAA